CACCTCTTTCATTCAGAAAACATCTTGTATTATTTTCAATGAAAACAAGGCTTTCTGCAATTGAAGGAGGTGTGGATGAAAGTCATGATCTCCCCTCTTCCAATCAAAGAATGCCTTGCATTCTGTGAAAACAATACAAGATGTTTTCTGACTAGGAGAAGTGTTGAATGAGTGAGCTCTGTGAGAACTGTACTCCAGATAAAGCTGTAACTCACAGCACCGGATATCCAGTACTTATTGTAGTGTGTGGGCTGAATAAACGTAAGCGTTTTACCAAACTCAGCAGCAGCCACACATCGTACAAACTTTATTGGTTTTCATTAGTTTATTTAAATAAATAGTTTTGCCCAAGTTTAGCTTAAAGCTAATGGAATGATATATCTTAACACCCAGGGACCAGAAGCAAGTAGGAATCACTTCACCAAGGTGTTTGAAAATTAAAAATCAGCGTTCACAAATGCTGCAGCTGTTGACTTTTAAGAAACAAGTACTTGCAAGCCCATGGAGTCCAGTGCTATCTTCCCACAGTGAATTTTTCTCAGAGCGGAGGATGTTCAGTGCCGAACTTGTGGCACAATACAAACATCTTTGGTGCAATTGGATGATAATCCCTCCATATAGAGAATGCATTGATGGTATCTGCAGAATTTGTAATAAGTCCGAAATGTTGGGAAATTTTTATCAAGTTCTTCATTCATCTGTACTGACAAAATCAGAAGTAATGAGAGAATCATTGGGTATCTTATTATTGATTTTTTGCGACAAGGCGCTGCGTTACCTTAACTGACAATTGCGTGCTCATGCAGTACTGTACATAAATGAAATTTATGTCCTTTTTTCCCCACAAATAGAGCATTCTTTCTGTGGTATTTGATCACATCTGCATTTTTTATTTTTGGTGCTATAAACAAAAAAAGACTGGCAATTTTGAAAAAAAAAAAACAATATTTTTGACTTTTTGCCATAAAACATATTCAGTAAAAATATGAAAAATCAAATTTCGTCATAAATTTATGCCAAAATGTATTTTTTCTACATGTCTTTGCTAAAAAAAAATGTCAACACATGTAGATTAATTGGTTTATGTGAAAGTTATAGCATCTACAATTGGCAGTATATTCAGTATACTGGTATTTTTATTTTTTAATACTAGTAATGGTGGCGAGCAGCAACTTATAGAGGGACTGCGGGACTCCAGCAGGCATTCTGACACTGGGGGGGGGGGACTGACTAACTGCCACTTACTTCCCAATGACACTAATACAGTGATCAGTGCTAATAAAAAGCACTGACACTGTACTAATGACACTGGGAAGGAAGGGGTTAATATCTGGGGCTATCAAAGGATTAACTGTGTGCTGTTTTGCATTGTGTGCTGTGTGTGTTTTACTAGGGAAACATACTGTTGTGTATTTCTCTGCTGTGCAGAGAAATACACGTCAGCATGTTATTGCTGGCAGGAGAGAGACCTGTGTGGAAGGTATGGGGTGGGAAGAAGGCTGGCCAATGGTCAACCAAATCATGTATTCATTTTGATAAATAAAGTGCCCTGAGGCACTGGGGGTACCTGCCTATAAACCTGGGGCCACCTCAAAAAGTATTTTCTTTTGGTGGAAACTAAGGACACGTGACATTTCTAAATTTGGACTAGTGAGCAGTGGTGTATTTAGGTTTTGTGCTGCCCTAGACACCCCCCTTCCCTAGTGGAGAGAGCCTTTAAAAGGCCAGGAGGCACCGGCGTGAAGGGGTAAAGGTAAAAAAAACCCCCACAGTCCCTCCCATATACCTAAATTTTGTGATAAAATTTAAGTTTTATCACAATCCAGCTCTGTGCCTGAGAGCAGCACTGTTTCTCTCTCTCACAGCATCCCATTGGCTTTGATGCTGTCAAATTTTGTGGGGAGGGAGAAGAGGGTGGGGCCTAGCCACGCTGTGTGTGTCTATAGACACATACAAACCAGCTTGGGATTGAGCCTGCATGAGTGCCCTCATTGCAAATGGCTTGCTATAAAGGCACTCGGAAAGGATGAGGAGCCGAGAAGAGGAACCCCAAAAGAGGAGGTATGGGGCTGCTATGTGCAAAACCAATGAACAGGACAGGTAAGCATAACATCTTTATTATTTAAAAAAATTAACCTTTACAATCGCTTTAAAGTGAAACTAGAACCACATTTCTTGATTTTTTTTTTCATTTTGGAGAGAATACGTTTTTATAACCTCTGTCAGTTTTTTTTGCCACATATGTCCCATTGGGGAGCTTTCCCTCTACTATCTGTCTCATATCCAAAACAGTAAGTGAGAGAAAATCCCTCAAAAGTGAAGGAAATCCCTGGTTGTCACCAGAGCTTTTGATCCCACTGAAAGATATCCCTTTTATTCCTGTTTTGGACATTTGGGATTTTTTTTTCACATTCACTCTTGCTGATGTTCACCAGGACAAAGAGAGAGGGTGAATCTCCCCGATGGGGGCACAGACAGTAATAAATACCCAACAGGTCTTCAAATCCCTCTCTACTCTATCCAAAATCCACATTACCCACATTAGTATGGTTGCTCAGCCCTGCAATCCTAGCACCAGGCTGTGCACCAGTACATATTAGTGAATGTCCAGGCATTCACTCGGCCAGTTGAGTTTCACAATTACACAGGAATGGGTGTGTAGCTCATTCACCAGTTCTGGCAGGTAAGGGACTCTGTGCCTGTGCTGAGAATGGAGCTTTTCCACAGTCACAGTGTTAACCCACCCTCTGTCCACTAGGGGTTGCACTGAGAATGTGGACTGCCAGATACTTTGTAGAGAAGTGTGGAGGATTGTGGAAGATGTTGTTTTTACTTTCTGGCTTTAGACTCTAAGAGGAAAAGACTTTCCAGCAGGGTCATGATGGAGAGGAGGGGGAGTATTGTAATTTTCACAGGGGGGAGGAGAAAGACAACTTTCAGAGAAACTAAGGCTGCAAGCAGACCACTGCACCTGAGCAAAAGAGATATACGTACAGTGCCAGCCATTCCGGATGCCCTAAATACTGCATGAGCCTGCTTGGCGACTGAGGATTGAGACACCAAGAACAGCATCCAGAGTATACTTAGCTGGTGAGTGGAAGGAGATCCCCTGCTGACATAGAGTGATGAGAGGCTTCTGGTCAACCCTGCACTACACCTTGATAGAAAGGGACATAGTTGCCTTATAAAACACAGTGGCAGTGCCTGCAACAGATCTTAAAGGGACACTACCTTAAGTGTTCCACCATAACAGTTGAGCCCCAATGAGCTGGCAAGCAGAGGAAATAGGATATATCACGGATTGTTGAATTGGTTTTGTGGTATATATATATATATATATATATATATATATATATATATACATATACACACACATACACACACACACACACACATCTCCCCCTAGTTAGGGCTGCCTGGTTCAAGGCTCAGGAGGGGTTGTGTTTTGTAAGAATTATTGTTTCTGTAGCGTATTACTCCTATGCGTGTCCATTCACTTATATAGGTAGGACTGCACTCAGCTCAGCGCAAGGACAGGAAAGTAAACAAAGGGCTTTCCACACTGTAAATGGCTAAGCACCAAGGTAAATGAGCCCTTAATCGTATGAAAGCTCAACTTGAGTTACCCTGGCTTGCAATAGGTTAAACTTCTGTTGTAGTCACAAATCATTGTCATCTCATTAGTGCCCAGTCATGCCAGAGTGATTTCAGGTGCGATTTGCGAATTGAAATCGCACATGAAATGGCATCTAGTGAATATGAATGTCCATGTGTTAACATGTGCAATTTGCTGCAGCATGATTTCTAAAGTAGTTCTTGCATTGCTTTTTTTCTGCAGTTTTGTTGTGATTTCACATACATACATAGAATCTAATGGAAATCGCACTTCAAATTGCAAGGTATAATTGAAAATCTTCACAAGTAGCAATAAAGTCTTCAGACTCTCAGTCACCTGAAATCGTGCTGAAATTGCACACAAATTGCGTGATTTTAAATTGCAGTGGTGTGACCGGTGACTTAGTGTGAGATTAATGTCACCCATGTAACTTAGTCCATACAATCTCTGCAATCCAGGTCACAGGCTTTCAGTTCTTCCAGAACTCTTTATTATTCATTATTGGAACACCACCTTACCTCAATAGACAGTAGCCAAAGCTTTACCCAGAATATATTTTGTTCTAACTTTTCACAGCCCTCCCTCGGACTTACCACGCTTTGTTTTCCTACCACAAGCCCCAGTTTACTGTCTCAGCACTTTCTGCATGATGTGCCAATGACTCACTCCCTTGGTTATGAGAATTTAAACCCACTTTTCTAACAGAAAGACTAACTGACCTCACACCATTTTAACAGATCTGCTGTTCCATAATCAATGTTCTACACTGTAGTGAGGCAATGCAGGGGGGGGGGGGGGGGGGCTGCTCAATTAGGTCATTGTTAAATGAAGAAGTGAAAGATTAACATGACCCCCCCACCCCATGGTATTGACTGGTCAATCAGCATATTTCATACAACCCACTGCTACTTTGTCCTTTACTGTCTGTGACAGCCTGTGACATTGTACAAGGACAGACATAATAGATTCCCTGAATAGAACATGAATATTCAGTAAACATGAAAGCTATGCTTTGTCTTCAGACCAGTTGAATTAGCAAAATGTCCCTTTGCTATGGCAAAAGCCTCTCACTTTCCCAACACTGCAAGGATTAACTGGTCTTTAAGTCTAGGGGTGTCAGAAAAAGGAGTAATGATTGCTATCTCCCCCGTTCTGACAGGTTCTCTCAATTTGTGAAACAGGTCCTGCACTGCTGCCTCTTTAGGGAGCTCCTGGCCTCGGTCACACTCCAGCCTCCTCTACATACAATCAGGGCTGCTGTTAGAAACCACAGCGCCCCATACAGCCAACTTGACAGCCCCTCCCCCCCAAAAAAAAACACAGTTTCATATGCTTCAGTTATAAATGAACACAGTGAGTGATTGGTACTGAGCACTCATTGTGTTCATTCAGGAAAGGAAGGGTCTGGTAAATGTGACATGTTTACAGGACCCTTCCCCCACTCTCCATCCTGAAGGATCCTATTGTGTGCTGGCAGCTGCCAGTGGGAAGGAGAATAGGGAAGTCAACAACTCTGTGGGAGTGGGGGCACACAGGGGGCCTGGGCAGCAGGGGGAAATGTATGGTGCACAGGGAGGGTGATGGGTGCGGTGGGGGAACCGATCCCCTGTATGGCTCTCTCTGCAGCAGCTAAAAGCCAGCGGGAGGTAGAGGAGAAGAAGCCAGCTTTCAGCTGCTGCAGAGAGAGCCATACAGGGGATCAGTTCCAGATATCCCCCCCCGGCATGCCGATTACCCTCCCTATCCACATCCAATTCACCCAGCTGCCTAGGCCCCTCCTGCTGGCCTGGGCTCCATACAGGAGGACTGGTGGTACCCCCTTATCCACGGCCCTGCATAAAATGCATAGTTAATAGTGCTGCACCGTATGTGGTGACAACATAGGGCTAACTGGAATGAAGTAGAGAAGGTCTGCATTTATTGTTGCTGGGGGGAATTCTGTTGTGAGGGGTCTATTGTTGCTGGGGGGGTCGATCCCTGCTGCGAGAGATCTATTTTTGTGGGAGGGGTCTATTGATGCTGGCTGCTGGAAGATCTATTGTTGGGGGGGGGAGATTCTGTTGCAATGGTTCTATTGTTGCTGCGAGGGATCTATTTTAGTGGGAGGGGTCTATTGATGCTGGCTGCTAGAATATCTATTGTTGCTGGGAGGGATTCTGTTGCAAGGGTTCTATCGTTGCTGTGAGGGATCTATTTTGGTGGGAGGGGTCTATTGATGCTAGCTGCTTGGAGATCTATTGTTGTTGGCAGGGGTCTATTTATGCTGGGGGGTATTTTTATTGTGGAGAGTCTATTGCTGCTGGGAGGTCTATTGTTGTTGGGGGTCTATTGTTGTTGGGGGTCTATTGTTTCTGGCTGCAGGAATCTAATTCACTGCCTTCCTTATTGTCATTCAGAATTCCAACATTTCTTGGCACCAGAAAATTACTCTTGATTCTGTACTCTCTAAAAGCAGTGGTACTGGAAGCTGGGTATGGGGTGGAGACAAGGGGTGACTCAGAATGGGGGAGCACCTGCATATATTCTTTGGGAGACAAAGCCCCGGTATTATGACACAAAGCCACAACCTCTCTGAGAGAGTCACTGAGAGACGTAAGAAGCTAGTGGGTAATTTAGCCCAACCACAGTCACTATAAATAAAATTTAGGGGAACTGTCTTTTTAAAAATAAACTGTCATATACATCTGTTCCCTTTTTTACTGCATATATGGGCAGAAGGGATGGTAAATGCAGATTATATACATTTACACAAAGTATTTCCCTTTTATCCTTTTATGACACTTCTCAGTCACAAACCCCCTGCTGTGAGCTTTAAAAAGTTACAGATGTCAAAATATAATTTGTTTGCCATGTGTTTCCAGCAGTCCTATTTATATAAAACCATTGGCCCATGCATTCTATTTTTAGAAAGTATTTTGCATAATATGAACCTTGTGTAGCACGTGTAAATATATTTGGAAACATTGTAAAATGTTATTTGTATATAAACATGTCAGTGCACTATTCTTGTAGCATAGAACAATCAATAAAGATAATAAAGATACAAGCTGCACTGGTATAAAACCGTTGTGTAGACAGTAACAAAACCTGTTATATATAGAACATGCAAACTTGCTAACCTAGATCAGTGTTTCTCAACCTTTTTTTTCCAGTCGGGGCGCCCTTGAAAAGTACTGTGTGTCATGGAAAGCACGTAAAATCACGCTCATTCCTGACATGCAGACAACTGCTCTGCTCTTTAGGGGTACCCCCATACTTTGACAAGCACAGGGTGTTGTTGGTGTGGTGCAATTTTGAAAAAAGGGTCACGGAGGACTTTCCCTGCATTTCTGAGGGAGGCAGCCCATTGAAATGAATGGGCTTCCCTACACACAGCCACACAGATGTGAACCAAGGGCCTGTTCATCTGTGAGGTTGGAGGGGGGGTAAAACCACGCAATTGAGTTGCTATCACCACCGCCAACTGCTGACCCTTTAGCTGCAGAAGCAGCAGCTGGGGGTATACACATATTGTGGCCGCAGCTGGAAGTATACCTCCAGATGAATAGGGTTGAACTAAAACCACTCCGTAACTGTGTGCGCATTGCACGCGGCTCTGGTATGTGGATGCTACTTTTTACGGGGTTAAAACAGGTGGTGAGGAGGCAACATATTGCCTCTTTACCACCTGTCAAATGCCTCTGAAAAGCGATCTGAGCATGTATTGTGTTTCAGAGGTGCAGCAGTCCTTGCTACAATTATGAACAAGTCCTAAAAAGCAGTTCTGAAAGGACAGGAATAGGGGGTCAAGATTAAACGTAACATACATACACACACATATAAAAACAAACACACACATACATTAAAGTACACACAGACTCACACACATGTACACACGCACACACATGTACACACACACACACATACATCCCAATAAAAAGTTACAGTACATTACCTTCCCTCACACAGCTGGGTACTGCATTCTAGGGGGAGGCAGAGAGCACAGAAGCCACGGTACCCCAGTTGAGAAAGGCTGACCCAGATTAAAGTTTGTCCATTACAAATGTAGACCTCTTTTGGGGGGTTGTGAGAAACAGCCCTCCCCAAACAGGACATTGCACTAAGCCTATAGGTAAATAAGAGAACTAGAACCTTTGCTAAGTGGAACTTGGAAGAGGGTTTGATAATAAAGTTGGCAGTACATCCACCCAGCTTCTGTGTCATCTAATCAAACTAATTGGGAGCAAAAGAACTACTGCAACCAGCATATAATATTAGCCATAAGTATATAGATGCACACCAGCGTAGAAATAATACAAGCTGTATATGAGAAAAGATTAATAACAGTACATACATCCAATGTCCAGGTATTATCAGTAAAAGCCTGACAGGAGTCTTACTGAAATTGTGCACATACAGTATACCCGGTATATATATAGTTATTAATAGAGATACCTCCAGAGGAATAATGCAGCAGACCCCTGAGGTTGATGCTGTGCCTGCCTTTGTTTCAGAGATCTAAAGACATAATTTGCAGTCATGGGGAGATCCTAGAGCTGTTGTCCAACCAGCCTGGAGCGGAACTTCTCACCAGCAGGAACTGTGGTGTGGCACTGGAACTGTGGCACTGGAGCTCAGAGTCAGCCTATCTATTCTGCGTTTTAGTCCCTCACTAATAGGTTTTAATCTGACATGCAACCAGACCTCGAAGCTAAGAATCCCAAAGTAGCCACTTAATGTCTAACCTGGTTCTAGCCCGTGCTGGTTATCAAGCCCTAAGCTAAAACTAGCTATAGAATGCTAGACCAGAAGGGACAGGGTTAATTAAAATAACAGGAGCTGCATATAACCTATAATGCAATAAACAGGTTCAACTACAAATATACTGGAAGGTGACCTCCACACACAGTAGCACAGACATAGCTATCTGGCACTGTGCATGTGAGATAATAACAATAGGACAGAAATAATTCTGTCCCAAGGATTTAGATATACACTCAAGTTTCTATGAGGAGTTGTAGTTAGAACTTAGGAACATTTGCACAAAGGACTTTGCTTCTGAGTGAAAATACAGCAGCAGCCCCTGTGTGTATAATAACATGAGTTTAAAATCTTTGTCTTTCACTCTCTCTACTTCCTCCTTAAAAAGGTCAACCCAAGGACAGGAAGAGCACACATAATTATACATAACACTATGATATTAACAGCTAACAGTAGAGGGCAGCAGATCCCTACACATAGATAGTAGAAATGGCAGGAGTGATTCCAGCAAAATTACTAAACCCTTGACAGTAAAATCAGTCGGTATATGCAGTAAAGTATGCTTGTTATATTCACTGCGGAACCTAAAACCTAAGGTGGGGTCTCCAAACTTTCTAAACAAAGGGCTAGTTTACTGCCCTCCCAAAAAATAGAGGGGGCCAGTGGGAGTAGAACATTTCCTGGTGTAAGTGGGTGTGTCCCCTCTTTGGTATTAGAGGGAGGAATAATGACCCCTCATTGGTGTCAGTGGGAGAAATAGTGCCCCATCATTGGTGTCAGTGGGATGAATGCTGCCCCATTGTTATCAGTGGGAGGAATAGTGCCCCATCATTGGTGTCAGTAGGAGGATTAGTGCCTTGTTGTCAATGGCAGGAACTATGCTCCACTGTTGCTGACAGTGGGAGGGGGAATGCTCCCCAAGGGCCGGATAAAAGCAAGCAAAGGGCCTCATGCCGCAGTTTGGAGACCACTGACCTAAGATGTTAATCCTCTGCATTGTGTAAAAAGGTTGTTTGATGATCCTGTCTTCTTCCACAGTCCCCAATCCATTTGTTACAGAGTCCTAGGAGGCACTGTGCACATGCTCAGTTTGGTGTGTATTGCTAAAGAGTTTTTTTGGGGGGGAGAGGGGTCATACAGCCTCATAGGACAGTCAGACGAGTATGAAAACTCCTCCTTCAAGAATAACCAGTGCTCGGCCAGACACTGATAGTCACAAGCAGGGGCGTACTGACCATTTGGAAAGTCGGGCACTGCCCGAGGGCCCGGGGGCAGTGGGGGGACCCCATGAGTTGCCCCTGGTACCTTTTTCATAGGCTTTTTTGAGTTTGGACAAGGACACAGGGGCCCCATGATCCCCTATTGCCCGGGGGCCCCATGAGTTGTCAGTCTGCCCCTGGTCACAAGACTACTATATACTGCTGATGAGAAAAGGTATTTAGCAGTTTATATTTACTAAAATAATTCCATTTCCATGTTGTGTGTACTGTGGGAGACCAGATATAGTGAGTGCAGAGTCCTGGGTTTAGTAACACTTTAACCTAATTTGCTATTGGCAGAATTGCAATTTAGCTGAAGTAAAACCAAATATGCTAATCCCTCCCAAACATATAACACCCCTTCTTATATCATGGAGATAAAGAGGGGGGTGTTCTATAGTCTAGCACGAGAAAGCAATTTCAAATGTATCTAAGCATAGCTATAGACATTAAAATGACCATATATGTTGCAGTCTAAAGATACAATCTCCTTTATGTCTATTAACAACTATAGACGGCATGGTTTTCCCTGATGGGGTACAAAAGGATTGAATTGTTTGGGTCAGCTTCGAGAAAATACACCATTCCACTGGAAATCTATAGCATGGGTAACCCACACAAAAAACCGCGGGTACACTGTGCTGAGGGGGAAAACACAGCCGATCAGTGTGAAAGGAGCCATATGCTACTTGGAGATATAAAATAGGTAATTAATATCCTTATCTGCCCTATAACTTATAATTAACAATGACAGGCTTACACATCAGGGCA